AGCGGCAACGTGCAGCAGCACCCGAAGAGTGGTCATCTTCGGGGTGGGGGAGAAGGTCTGGAAGAAGTCGACTCCCTGTCGCTGACTGAAGCCTCGAGCAACGTAACGAGCCTTGAAGACAGGCGGAGAACCTGGCGGCCGCTTCACCCTGAAAATCCACATGCCATCAACGATGTTCGCCCCTGGAGGGGGAACCTCATCGACGTAAGTGCCTGTGGACTTCCAGGATGCCATCTCTGCGTCCATGGCTGTCTGCCACTGAGAGGAGTAGGGGCCCGCGATCGCCTCAGCGTAAGAGCGCGGGGTGGGGATGTCAAGAGCATACGGGTCTCCCTCAAGGGCAAGCAGCATGGCCCTCGTGGCCAGGCGCAGCGGCCGCAAGACACTCAAGGTCCTCCTGTCTGTCCTCAAGGACGTCCGTGCCAAGAGCACACTCACCCCCGACGAACGGAGGACAGACAGACTCAGACTCAGCAACTAGACTGGTAGCCTAGTCCAGATGACAGGCAGCAGCAAAGTCGACAAGCTCAGCGACCAAGGCAGACGCAGCAGCAGACTCAAACGACGGGTCGGTGACAACAGTGGCTAACAAACGCGTGACAGTAGGGTGCTCAGCACGAAACCGGTCAGACTCAGGGTCAGCAACGTCAGGCAGAGAGGACGCAGGAGGAGACGGCAGAGGAACAGACTGCGGAGCAGAGAAAGGACGACGGACGACGAGGTGCGCACAGGGGACAGCCGGCGAACGCGGACGAGGAACACGACGACTGGTACGACCAGAACGAACAGGCGAGACAGGACGCGACGCAGGCTCATGACGCTCAGCAAGACCACCTGCGTGCTCAGTGTAAGGGGAAGGAGCAGGCAGCGGTGAGCCAGGCTGTAACGAAAGACCAGTAGAAGACGGGAGGCTGAGAACCTGACTAAGAACAGTGTCAGGCGGTGGCTGAGACGACGGAGACGGTGGAGCGAAGAACAGTCGCGGGGGTGCAGTGCCACCAGCACCAGCAGCTCCAGTACCTCCAGCAGCTCCAAAACTCCCAGCGCCAACAGCAGCAGCACCCCCAGACCCAGGGTCTCCAGCCGCAGTGTCTCCAGCAATAGCACCCGCAGGCTCAGCACCTCCAGCCCCAGCAGCTCCAGTACCTCCAGTACGAGCACCTCCGGGACCAGCAACTCCAGCACCGTCAGTAGGCAAAGGACCAGCACCACTCCCATCTCTAGCAATGTCCGGAGCAGCACCTCCAGCGGCAGAACTCCGAGCTCCAGAAGCGCGACCCTGACGGCGACCGTACCAGTCGTGGAGCTGCTGTGACGTGAGCGGCACACGCGGACGAAGGCGGCTACTCCAAGGGGACCGCGCAACAGCAGACTCAGAACCCTCAGCGCCAGCACCCGCAGCAGCTCCAGAACCTCCAGCTCCAGCGCCACCAGCGCCAGCACCTCCAGTAGCTCCAGAACCTCCAGCGCCAGCACCACCAGCGCCAGCACCTCCAGTAGCTCCAGAACCTCCAGCGCCAGCACCCCCAGCAGCGCCAGAACCTCCAGCTCCAGCGCCACCAGCGCCAGCACCTCCAACAGCTTTAGAACCTCCAGCACCAAGGCCCCGAGCTCTAGCAGCGCGACCCTGACGGCCAACGTACCACTCACGCAGCTGCTGTGGGGAGAGAGGGAGTGGGCGACGAGAGTGCAGCGGTGAGGCACCAGCGGAGCGACTACGGAGACGGCCGCTCCAGGGAGACTGCTCACCAGACGCCTCAGCGCCCCCAGGTGCAGCACCCCCAGACTCAGTACCCCCAAGCTCAGCACCCCCAGACTCCTCACACTCAGGCTCAGCACCTCCAGGCTCGGCACCCCCAGGCTCCGCACCCCCAGACTCAGCACTCCCAGGCTCCGCACCCCCAGGCTCAACACCCCTAGGCTCAACACCCCCAGAAGTAGCACCCCGAGCAGGACCACCCCCAGCAGGACCTGAGAAAGAGCGGCGGGGGGGGAGACGGGCAGTGCGGTAGGGGAAGAGACGGTAAAAAGGGAACCTACTCGTCGAACGTGACGTCCTGAGACGCGAAGACACGGCGCGAGGTGGGGTGGTAAAACTGCCAACCAGGCGCATCAGGGACAAAGCCAAGGAAGACACAGGGAACAGCGCGGGCGGAGAGCTTGTCCGCGGTGGTATCGCGGACAAAGGCACGAGCACCTCAGACCCGGAAACGCGACGCATCGCCAACCTTCCCCGTCCACAGCAGCGTGGGCGAGGTCTCCGGTAAGGAGACACGGGGCCAGAGGTTGAGCTGATGCGCGGCGTACCTGACCGCAAACGGCCACAGAAAATGGGGGGCAGCCGCATGGATCATGGAGGTACGAGCGACCTCCATGACTAGGCCAATGCGGCGCTCAGCAACCCCATTCTGCTGTGGAGAGGCCGGAAGCGTGAACGTCTGACGGATGCCGTGCTCCGCACAGAAGGCTGCCAAGAGGTCTGAGGAGAACTCACCACCTCTGTCAGAGTGCATACGCAGGACGGGAAACTCCGTCCCGAACCGCTCGCGGAGCTGGAGACGGGCAGCGCGGATCCAAGGGATCAAAACATCAGGGACCTCCCCTTTGCGCTGCAAGGGGAAGACCGTGGTGTAACGCGTGTAGTCGTCGACGACCAGTAGGAAGTACCGCTCGTGGCCCTGTCCACGGACGTGGGCTGGGCCCCACACGTCCAGGTGGAGAGTCTGTAGGGGGGGAACGAGGAGGAGTGAGGAGCAGCGCGCTGCCGCCCCTCGACACAGGGAAGACAGGGAGGAGCGGGCGAGGGTGGGAGGGGAGGGAGAACCCGGGGAAGACCAGAGACAAGGACACGGCGGTGCATGCTACGAAGGCGCTGCACCGAGGGGTGACCAAGGCGGTGGTGCCAAAGGAGGGTCTGGTGCGACAAAGCGCGACACGAGCAGGGGGCCGCTAGCTGACCTGACGCAGACGCAGACGCAGCTACCTGAGGGGACACAGTGGTCAGTGTGTACAGACTCGAGCCAGGCGCATGGGTAAACGTGGCCAGGTGTCGGCCCGTCCGAGCACACGTACAGTGAGTCACTCGCTGACTCGCAGGAGTGAACTGGTCAACCCCGCCATCCTGGAGGTCAGCTCCACTCACCAAGTTCGTAGAGAACGAGGGGAGGTAGAGACCTGACAGCGAGCCAGACGGGGCGGCCGGACACGGCAAAACCGTGGAGTAGTGGGCAAGGACAGGACCCCCAGAGGGGTCCGCCAGGGAGACTGCAACCGGCCGACTAAGCGGCGTGAGTGTGGTGCAGTCACGAAAGAAGGAGCGGGAAGCTCCTGAGTCAAGGGTGAAGGTGTGCAAGACCGCAGCAGGCGCAGTACCAGAGAGAGCAAACTCACTAACACCTGAAGTCGCAGCCTCACCAGCACCTAGAGCAGGAGACGCACTAGCACCTAGAGTAGCAGCCTCACCAGCACCTAGAGCAGAAGACGCACGAGCACCTAGAGCAGCAGCCTCACCAGCACCTAGAGCAGCAGGGTCTATACCTGGGTCAGGCGGTACGCACAGGTAACAGGCACCGTCAGTACTAGTAGGCAATGCATACATGGCAGTGAGAATAGCATCATAGTCAAGAGCAAAGATATCTATCCTCTGGCTAAGCAGCTCCAGCCAGGTGGGGAGCTCAGCCTCGTCGCCAAACTCGGTACGCCAGGCGTCGCTCAGACGGGCGAAGCAGTGAGACTCTGTGTGACCAAGCATCCTGCAAGCCTGACCAGTCCGAGCACCTGTGCGAATGACGTACGGGCAGCGAACGGTACTCCGAGACCCTCTACTCTGAGCGTACCACTCACGCAACTGCTGGGGCGAAAGTGTCTCGCGCGGACGCCGCTGCAGCTGCAGCTGGCCACTACCAGACGCTCCCGACTGCCCAGCTCCAGGGCGACAGCCACGACGGCTACCGCCACAACCCCAACTAGCGTACCACTCACGAAGCTGCTGGGGCGTGAGAGACTCGCGCGGACAGCCCGGAGCTGCATCCGGCCACAACCAGGAGCAGCACTGGTAGTAGGAGCAGAAGCAGCAGCTCAGCAGGTAGGCAGGCAGGCAGGCAGGCAGGCGGCGCAGCAGCGTGCTCACCGGTGGCAGGGAGGCGCGCGGCGGGTAGCGGGGCCGCAAACCTGGCTGCAGATGGAGGCCGCGTCAGCTGCAGGGCGGGGCAGTGTCGGCGGCAAGGCGGGGCCAGGCTGGGCCGCGTCGGTGGCAGGGCGGGGCCGCTACCCGGCGGGGCCGAGAAGGCGGTAGGGCGGTGCTGCGCGGGCCGCGTCAGGAGCAGGGCAGGGCCGCTGCTCGGCGGAGCCGCTGCGGCGGTAGGGCGGGGTCGCGCGGGCTTAAAGGCACCGTGACGGGCAGGCAGGTGGCCGGGCGCGGGCTGTAGGGCACCGTGACGGGCAGGCAGGGGGCCGGGCGCGGGCTTAGGGCGACGCGACGGGCAGGCAGGGGGCCGGGCGCGGGCTTAGGGCGACGCGACGGGCAGGCAGGGGGCCGGGCGCCTGCTTAGGGCGACGCGACGGGCAGGCAAGGGGCTGGGCGCGGGCTTAGGGCGACGCGACGGGCAGGCAGGGGGCCGGGCGTAGGCTTAGGGCGACGCGACGGGCAGGCAAGGGGTCGGGCGCGGGCTTAGGGCGACGCAACGGGCAGGCAGGGGGCCGGGCGCGGGCTTAGGGCGACGCGACGGGCAGGCAAGGGGCCGGGCGCGGGCTTAGGGCGACGCGACGGGCAGGCAGGGGGCCGGGCGCGGGCTTAGGGCGACGCGACGGGCAGGCAGGGGGGCAGGGCGCGGGCTTAGGGCAACGCGACGGGCAGGCAAGGCAGGCGCGGGCCGTAGGGGCGGCGCGACAGGCAAGCAAGGTAGGGCGCGTGTGGGGCAGCGCGGTAACCGCAGGCAGGCAGGCGTTCGGTGGGCCCAGGAAAAAAAATCCGGTCCTAACGGACGAACCGCTCTGAAACCATGTTAGAAAGTCTAGGCAAGAATGATTGCATTGAAAGAAGGTTGGGTACAAGTAGCAAACCCTAGAGGGGTTGTACCCCATATTGGCTACCCCACTACAGCCTACACAAGTATAACGTATGTAGTTTGACAACTTCCGACACCTCTGGCCCAGCTGAGGGGGGTGACGTTGCTGCTGACGACGCGGCGGCCCCTCGCCGCTTTCCACGCTTGGAGACCCCTCCGGGTTTTCCACCTCGACCGTCTTCGCCGCCTCTGCAGCCGGTTGCTGTCGACTCTGGTGCTGCTGGGGGTGGTGCTGCTCGGGGTGCTGTGTCTGGTGGTGCTGAGCGTGAGGGTGCGGAGCCTGGGGGTGCTGAGCATGAGCGTGCGGAGCCTGGGGGTGCTGAGCCTGAGCGTGCGGAGCCTGGGGGTGCTGAGCCTGCGGGTGCGGAGCCTGGTGTTGCTGAGTTCGGGGGTGCTGCGCCTAGGTGTTTTGCTTCCCCACTCCAAGGGCCTCTCTCGCCGCGCGAGTGGTATGCTTAGCAGCTCCGCCTTCGGAGTGTCGCTGCTGGAGCTGGAGGCCCTGGAGCTGCTAGCCTTGGAGGTGCCGGAGGTGCTCGTACTGGAGGTACTGGAGGTGCTCTCTCACCACAGTCGCCGCGCGAGTGGTACGCTCAGCAGCTCCGCCTTCGGAGTAGCGCTGCTAGAGCTGGAGGCGCTGGAGGTGCTAGTCTTGGAGGTGCTGGAGGTACTGTTGGAGGTGCTGGAGGTACTGGAGGAGATGGAGCTGTTAGTCCTGGAGGTGCTCGTACTGGAGGTACTGGAGCTGCCGGAGCTGGTGGTGCTGCCAGTACTGGTGGTGCTGGTGGTGCTGGCACTGCTGGTCCCGGAGGTGCTCGTACTAGAGGTACTGGAGGTGCTCTCTCACCACAGCAGCTGCGCGAGTGGTACGCTCAGCGCTGCCACCTTCGAAGTGGCGCTGCTGGAGCTGGAGGCGCTGCGGCTGGAGACGCTGGAGCTGGAGGCGCTGGCGCTGGAGGCGCTGGGGCTGGCGGCCCTAGAGCTGGAGCTGCTGGTCCTGGAGGTGCTAACACTAGAGGTACTGGAGCTGTCGGAGGAGGTGGTGCTGCTCGTGCTGGAGGTGCTGGTGGTACTGGCACTGCTGGTCCCGGAGGTGCTCGTCCTGGAGGTGCTGGAGCTGCCGGAGCTGGTGGTGCTGCGGGCTCTGGAGCTAGAGGCGCTGTCGCTGGAGGCACTGACGCTGGAGGTTATGGAGCTGCTGGAGGCGCTTGAGCTGCTGGTACTCGTACTGGAGGTGCTGGTGCTGGTGAAACTGGTGCTGGTGGTACTGCACAGCCGCGACTGTTCTTCGCTCCGCCGTCACCGTCGTCTCTGCCACCGCCTGACTCGGTACTTCGCCAGGTTCTTAGCCTTCCATCTTCTACTGGCCTCCCGTTACAGCCAGGCTCTTCACTGCCTGCTCCTTCTCCTTACACTGAGCCAATAGACTCGCTTACAGAGCGTCGTGGACCTGCGTCTCGTCCTGCCTCGCCTGCTCGCACTGGTCGTCGTGTCCCTCGTCCGCGTCCTCCATCTGTCCCTGGTGTTACGATGCGATATGAACTGGTAACCGAGTTTAACGAGGGCCTAGGCTTAGAAGCCTAGGCTAAGTGGGAGTTGAGAGTTGTCTGCAAGGAGATTGACGAGAAATAATTGTGTTCACTATAGGACCAAAGGTACATATAGCAAACAAACAAGAGGTGCACCACCAACTAGGTTTGTATGACTACACTAAAGCTAAAGCTACAGGCAGTTATAAAGATATATAAATATCTATCGCGACACACCCCCTTAACTGCCTGCAGCACATATCTAGAGCAAGTCATACCCCCGGAACTTGGGCAAGAGGTAGAAGAAGCAGGGGAAACAGCAACACAGATCAGCCATGATAAATGCAACAACGGCAGGTGCAGGACCCGAGAGGTGGGCGTGAGAGCAAGTGCCGTGGCTGCAATGAGCAGCTGGACAGCACGGCTCAGCACCTCCGGGGGCGTGCCTGCTACAGGCAGTATTTGCAGTGATGGCAGATAGAGCCACAGTAACCTCAACCGCGGCAGATGCAGCTGCGACAGGTGCAGGACCCGGCAGGTGGGCGTGAGAGTAGGCGCTGTGGCTGCAACAAGCAGCAGGGCAACACCGCTCAGCACCTCCAAGGGCGTGCCTGCCACAGGCAACGGCTGCAAATGCCCGACTTACTTCTTCCACCCCCTTACCTGCCCACTCAACCCTGCTGGTGCTGGCGGCTGGCGCTGGTGCTGGTTCCTGGTGCTGGCGGCTGGTGTTGGTGCTGGTTCCTGGTGCTGGCGGCTGGCGCTGGTGCTGGTTCCTGGTGCTGGCGGCTGGCGCTGGTGCTGGTTCCTGGTGCTGGCGGCTGGTGCTGGTGCTGGTTCCTGGTGCTGGCGGCTGGCGCTGGTGCTGGTTCCTGGTGCTGGCGGCTGGCGCTGGTGCTGGTTCCTGGTGCTGGCGGCTGGTGCTGGTGCTGGTTCTTGGTGCTAGCGGCTGGTGCTGGTGCTGGCGCCTGGTGCTGGCTTGACGGCGCTGGAGCTGGTGCTGGTGCTTGGTGCTGGTGCTGGCGGGATCTCTGCTGGCGGGGTCTCCGCTGGCGGGGGTCTCTGCTGGCAGGGTCTTTGCTGGCGGGGTCTCTGCTGGTGAGGTCTCTGCTGGCGGGGTCTCTGCTGGCGGGGTCCTTGCTGGCGGGAGTTGTCAAACATTATATATATTGTGGTTGTTTAGGCTACAGTGGGTTAGCCTTTAGGGGGTACACAAACTCTAGGGTTGCATATTTGTACTCACATTCTTGCTAGTCATTCTCATTCCTGCCAGTTAGTTTCAACATGGTTTCAGAGCAGGTCCTTCACTAGGACCGTTTTAGGGCCCACCGCTACCTACCTACCTACCTACCTACCTACCTGCGCCCTAGAGCGCTTCGTACTTCACGGCCCCCTAAGGCCCCGCGACCCGCGACCCGCACCTTAGCGACCCGCGCGCCGCCCCTTAGCGACCCCGTCGGCCCCGCGCTCGCCCCTAGAGGCCCCTTACGGCCCCGTCGCAGCCCCTTAGAGGCCCCGTCGGCCCCGCGCGCCGCCCCTAGAGGCCCCGTCGACCCCGTCGCAGCCCCTTAGAGGCCCCGTCGGCCCCGCGCGCCGCCCCTAGAGGCCCCGTCGACCCCGTCGCCACCCCTTAGAGGCCCCGTCGACCCCGCGCGCTGCCTGCTAGGGGCCCCGTCGACCCCGCGTACCGCCCCTTAGAGGCCCCGCTGGCCCCGTCGACCCCGCGCGCCGCCCCTTAGTGACCCCCGCGCCGCCCCTTAGGGGCCCCGTCGACCCCGCGCACCGCCCCTTAGAGGCCCCGCTGGCCCCGTCGACCCCACCCACCGCCCCTACCTGCCCCGAACGCGACCGCGACGGCCCCGCCAGCACCGAGCCGCGCCGCCCTGACCGAGCCGCGCCGCCCTAACCGAGCCGCGCCGCCCTAACCGAGCCGCGCCGCCCTACCTGCGCCGAGCCGCCCTCCCTGAGTCGCACTACCTACTACTGTTACTGCTACTGCTGCTACTGCTACTATGGCTAGTCCTCCCGTGCTAGCTTTCGATACTGAGGGACGTCCAGTGAAATTTGACACCTGGCTAGATGACCTGCACCTTTTCCTACAGCTCACTGCCAAGGAAGACATCTCACTGTACGATCACGCCCTAGGCCATGCCCCTGCGCCTGCTGCTACTGCCGACAGCTCTACCCGCTCACAGTGGCAGACTCGTGACGCCCACGCTCGCTTTGCTATTCGCAACTCCCTGCTGCTAGAAGAGCGCGAGCACTTTGGCCAGCACAAGACTGCACAGGACCTGTACAAAGCTGTCGTTGCCCGCTACTCCTCGCCTGCCTCTGCCGCTCTAGGCCGTCTCTCGCTTCCCTACCTGTTCCCCGACCTGTCCTCTTTCCACACAGTCGCTGACCTCATCACCCACCTCCGTACTAGTGAGGCCCGCTTCCGTGCTGCCATGCCCGCCGAGTTCCTTGCCAAGAACCCTCCCCCGCTCTGGCTCACTCTCTACCACCTAGTCACCCGCCTCCCTGACTCTCTGCGTGCAGTCAGGGATTCCTTCCTAGCTCGCTGCCCTACTGAGCTCACCATTGCCCTCCTCGAGAAGGAACTACTTGCAGCTGAGGCTAGCATAGTCGCTGTAGGTGCCTCTCGTGGCGACCCCCGCACCCCGTTCTTTGAGGGGTGTTCTCCTTCCCCCCTTCTTCCCTCTGTCGCCTCTGCTGCTGCTGTCGACCTCCTTGGTGCTGAGAAGGTCGGGACTGCGTCTGCTTCGAGCGGACGCCGCAGCGGCAAGGGCAAAGGGGGCAAGGGAGGCGGAGGTCACAGTGGGGGAGGAGGTGGTGGGGGCGGTGGCGGCGGAGGGGGTGGTGGCGCGGCTGGAGGGGTGAGTGGTGGCGGTGGGGGGGGTGGCGGTAGCGGCGGGGGAGGTGGCAGAGGCGGGGGCGGTGGTGGGGGTGGCGGTGGACGTGGAGGCGGCAACGGGTTGGGGTGGTCGAGGAGGTGGGAGCGGAGGTGGTGGTCGTGGAGGCGCTGGCGGTGGCCAGAGCCAACAGCACACTCCGTCGCTCCAGGAGGCCCGTGAGTGGTACTCTCAGCACGGGGGGGGGGGGGGGTGGGCTTAGCTGTACGTACGTCATCCGCACTGGTGACCGCGCTGGTCAGACGTGTGGGAGGGCCCACACCGCGCAGCGCTGCTTCTCTCGTCTCGACGACGCTTGGCGTGTTCAGTTCCCTCAGGCCTCTGAGCTGCCCCGCTGGATTGATCTCCTGAAGAAGGGGATTGATATCTATGCTCTAGACTTTGATGCTATTCTCACTGCCATGTATGTGATGTCTACTAGTGGAGAGGGTGCCGAGTACCTGTGTGTTCCGCCCGACCCGGGCATTAGGACCAGTGAGTCTGCCGCTTCAGGTCCGCGCGTGTCTGCTACCTCAGGTGCTGGTACGGCTGCTGCTCTAGGTGCTTGTGCGTCTGCGCCCACTGGTACTGAGTCGACTGCAGCACTGCACACCTTCACACTGGACTCAGGTGCTTCTCGCTGTTTCTTTCGTGACCGCACTGCCCTTGAGCCACTTGCTCGGCCAGTTGCTGTCTCCCTCGCTGACCCCTCCGGGGGACCAGTCGTGGCGACCTCCTCCACTGTCCTTCCCTGTCCTGCGGTCCCGTCGGGCACATTGTCCGGTCTCCACCTCCCCTCGTTCTCTACGAACCTGGTGGCTGGGTGTGCGCTCCAGGACGCGGGTGTTCACCAGTTCACCCCGGCCTACGAGCGCGTGACGCACTGCACGTGTGCCCGTACGGGCCGCCACTTGGCTACCTTCACTCGGCAGCCGGGGTCGGACCTGTACACACTGACCACTGAGTCCCCTCAGGTCGCTGCGTCTGCGTCTGCGTCAGGTCAGCTGTCGGCCCCCTGCTCGTGTCGCTCTCTGGCGCACGAGACTGTCCTCTGGCACCACCGACTTGGCCACCCGTCTGTGCAGCGCCTTCGCGCCATGCACTCCAGGTACCTTGTCTCTGGTCTTCCCAGGGTCCTCCCTCCTCTCCCTCCCTCGCCTGCTCCTCCCTGTCTTCCCTGTCCCTGGCACTCACTACATGACTCTGCGTCCCTCCACTGCTCCTCAGCGTGTCCTTCTGCCGTCTCCTCCTGCGTCCTCTCTTCCTGAGCTTCCTGACCCGGAGTCTGACTCCCTTCGTGCTGCCCGTCCTACTGTCACGCGTCTCCTTGCTACTGTCGTCACTGACCCTACCTTTGAGTCCTCTGCTGCGTCTGCTCTCGTTGCTGAGTTAGTTGACTTTGCTGCTGCTTGTCGTCTCGACTACGCCGCTAGCCTAGTTGCTGAGTCTGAGTCTGTCTTGTCAAAATTACGAGATTGGAATGATTGAACTAACAGAGAAATCAGTACAAATAGCAAACCCTAGAATTCTGTACCCCATATAGGCTAACCCACTGTAGCCTAACAAGCGCAACATATATAATGTTTGACACACCCCCATAGGCAAAGTGGGGGAGACCTAGGGGTCACAAGACCAGTCAAGGCAAAGCAAGGCAACAACAAGCTCAGGGTGGATCTCAAGGATACCACACAAATTCCGAGCACAAGCTAGTGGTCACAAGACTAGTTCACATGCAGGTTTATAACAGAGCATGAGATACAGTGATCACAACCTAGCAAGAGTAAACATGCAGGTATAGATATATATAGTGATCACAGTACAAGCAAAGTCAAGAGGTAAGTAAGTGAGGTCCAGTAGGCACAAGGCCTAGTAGAGTGCAGAAGCGCTGATGGTCACGAGGCTGAAGCGCCTTGGTGAACACATCAGCAGTGTTGGCCTCAGTGGCCACGTAGCGAATACAAAGCTGACCGCGCTGCTGCAGCTCTCGAGCAAGGAAGTACCGCAGG